GGCCAATGTAGGCCTAATGTCCTACATTGTAGAAGGTCCTTACTGCATGGAGGTGAGACCTTCTGTCCCTCCTGTGCCCATGTTTACTTGGCAGTGTGACTGTGGGGAAGTACTGTCACATTGTGTTGGTGAGGGTGGTCATTTGACCCAAACTGGCAGAAAATCAGAAGGGCAAAATTGAGGAAAGGCTCATGAGTCGAGACAGAAACGGTTTAAAAGATTAGCAGAAAATTGCTGTGTGTGCAAGCAAAGCAGAACAAGGAGTTCATTCAGTACTTCCCATCAGCAGGCAGATCTCCAGCAGCTCTGGGGACAAGCAGAGCATCATTGTGCATAACGGGTATGTGGGAAATTGAACTTCATAGTGCCAAACATTCCCCCACCTTCATTCTTTTCCCCCAGCTTTTATTGTTGAATGTGGCACTGTGTGGAATGGAATGTCCCTATGATGACCCAGCCTCCTTGCTGGGCAGAAAGTGGGAACAAAGGAAAGCCTTGATGCTGTGTGAATGCTGCTCAGCAACAGGTGAGGCACTGCTGTGCCAGCAGCTCTGCGTGGTCACAGATCCAAAGCACAACATCACATGGGCTGCCATAAAGAAAACTTACCTCCAGGGCAGCCAGACTTGGTCCATCTTCATAGGCAAAGGCATAAGCTGCTTTTGATTCATTTTACAATTTCCTAGCTAGTATTTTCATTCTTTTCATTGATTTCTTTGTCTATGTATTGAAAATTTTACTGTTTCCTTTGAAGAAATACTATTATATTAACAAAGTTGCCTTCAATATAGAAGTATATATAAATATTTGCTTTTTATTGCCTATACATGTACTAAACTGGCAAAAGAGAATGCCCATCATCTGCTGCCCCGAAAGCCTCCAGTTTAAAGGCTGGCAAAAGAAGAAAGTTCTATTGCCTTTGTAGTGAGAGAGGAAATAGTGAAATTTAGAAAACTGCACAGGTTTATGTAGCGTGGATTGCAGCACCAGAAAAACACAGTAATCCAAGATTGCTACCCATAAAATTAAAGCATGGTCACATTAAGTGGTTTATTGGGCTTTCAGTGACACTTAACTGTGAGAAGGAATCAAGTGATGAGATTATGGAATTGGAGCTGCTGCCTCTGGAATAATATAATCTCTTTTTTATTGCCTATTTGGAAATTTAGCCACTGTCATAAATCATCTGCCCACAAAATGTGATATTAAAGGTACAACAGAGCTAAAAGCTGCAAAGAGAATCTTACAAGGTGGCCTGCATTGGTGGAAATGCTCCAGCTGAGGCTGGTGGCAATGTGCAGATTCTTCTCAATGGTTCTGATGATGGGCAAAGGGTGAGTTTGTTTTGGTAATGGAAAATCTTCCTCACGGACAGCGGCTCATTTGGGCAGAATAAGAAAAAAAGAAACTGGTCAGCCATTCTAAGTGTGGTGCTGTTACCAACATGACAAGCAGGTGGCCAGAATGGACACTAGGGTGAAAAGGTAATCTCTAGGTAAAAAAATCCTCTAGGCAAAAGAGATGATGGAGCCTACAAAGCTGTGAAGGAAATGCCATTGATCCCTTGCTGAAGGTAAGTGATTGCAGAGGCACCAGCAAAGTCAAACAGGCTGGGGATGGATGTGGAGCTCCGAGGCTCATCTCCATCAGGTGAAGCTGAACAAGTGTCAGTCCCACAGGGTCCTCACCACCTGTAGCAGAACGCAGCAATACTGAAGAGGAAAGCCAGAGAAGAACTTCATCAAGACCCAAATCTTACTTCTGAGTCTACACCTTTAGAAAAGACACGTTTCCCTGCCATCCAACAGCACAGCTGCTCTCCAGCTGCGGTTAGAGACACTGCTCTATAAACACCTCTGATATTACTCAGGGACCCACCTTTCCTGCAGAGTGCTGTGGCTCCAGGATCATCCTCCCTCAGCTGTCTGCTCGGCTCTCTGTTTCACCAATTTGTGTTTTCAAAGGCTGCGAGATCTCAGGTGCAAACCAGAAAAGTCTTCTCCACCTCAAGGACTGAGATGTGCTTTTAAATGAAGCCTCACAGTGAGTTAGCATGTGTTTATGCAGCAGATTTGGTGCTTAATGATGTGAAAGCTATCTAATTTCGTATCTTAAAACTTAAACTCATTTTTATAAACACACTACTCAGCTTTCTTGCTAGTATCTGAACCATGGTTTTAGGGAGAGTTAAGTTGAAAAGAAAAAGCACTCAGAGCAGTGCAAGGAACTTGTGATCTCAGAAAGAAATCACAAGCAAACAGAAACTCACTCTTACTCACCTGTCAGTTGGGCGAATCCAGGTGACCTTTCCATCAATGAGGCAAGCAGCTTTCTGAAGGGAAAGCTTCTACTGTAACTTTTCAAGGCTGTTTTTCTATTTTTAAAGCAGTGATATGAAATTCATCCAAGATATGTGACTGACCACTGTACACAGAAGTGCTACTGGCTGTACCCTATTGCATAAGACTTGGAACATCCTTGCCTTCTTTGCTTGTTTTCAAAGAGTTTGCCAAAAAATAGCAGGTCTTAAAGAACTCAGACCTCTCTCAGGGAAATTCCTCCTCAGAATCACAGAATTACAAAAGCACCAACGTTGGAAAAGACCTACAAGATCATCCAGTCTAAACATCCAGGAAGATGGATAGTTGGAAGAGATGAAGGAGATGACTGGTTTAGTTTTGAGGTTTTTATCTGCGACCCAGAAAGGCAAGTAGAAAAGGAGATGAACAAATTATATTTGGCAACAGTCTGTGGACCCAAAAAAGCAGAGTTTAGCTCTGTCCGCTTTTGAGGATTTTACTTGAAATACAGAAGATGAAAAGAGACCAGAGGACACAGCAGGGATCGACTCCAGCAGTGATTATGCTGAGGTGCAGAAGGTGACATAAGGAATTAGTTCTCAGATCTGCAGAGCCCCTCTTGAAGACCTGGTGACCTGAAACCTAAGGAGGTGCCCAGGGACAGATGTCTGATGTCACCTATTGCAGTGGGGGACTCAGCATAAGGGATCTAATCCCCCTAAGCTGCAACAGCCTGCAAGCCCAGGGGCAGACAGGACAGCACAACACGGCTGGTGGCATTGCCAGCAGCAACTCTCCCCTGCAGTGACAGGGAACAGCAACTTGTCTGCACACTCAGTTGCAACCTGTAGGGAGAGCGACTGCCAGCAGCAATGCTCCAGCTGGAAGTTTTCAGCATTATTTTTGAGCAGAAACTACAAAGGGGATGAAAGTGGACATGTGACAAGCTCTGCTACTGACTATAGCAGCAATCAGACCTAGAAGATTTGGGTTGCCATGAGCTTACATCATGCCAGGACAAGAAATCATGGAATCATGGAATCGCAGAATCATAGACTGACCTGGGTTGAAAAGGACCACAATGATCATCTAGTTCCAACCCCCTGCTATGTGCAGGGTCACCAACCAGCAGACCAGGCTGCCCAGAGCCACATCCAGCCTGGCCTTGAATCCTCCAGGGATGGGGCATCCACAACCTCCTTGGGCAACCTGTTCCAGTGCCTCACCACCCTCTGGGGGAAAAACTTCCTCCTAATATCCAACCTAAACCTTCCCTGTGTTAGTTTGAAACCATTCCCCCTTGTCCTATCACTATCCACCCTCATAAACAGCTGTTCCCCCTCCTGTTTATACGCTCCCTTCAAGTACAGGAAGGCCACAATGAGGTCCCCCTGGATCCTTCTCCAAGCCAAACAAACCCAGTTCCCTCAACCTTTCCTCATAGGAGAGGTGCTCCAGCCCTCTGATCATCTTAGTGCCCTCCTCTGGACCCACTTCAAGAGCTCCACATCCTTCCTGTGCTTAGAGCCCCAGGCCTGGATGCAGTGCTGCAGATGGGGCCTCACAAGAGCTGAGTAGAGGGGGACAATCACTTCCCTCTCCCTGCTGGCCACCTCTTTTTTAATGTAACCCAGAACACAGCTTGCCTTCTGGGCTGCAAGCACACACTGCTGGCTCATGTCCAGCTCCTCATACACCAGGACCCCCAAGTCCTTCTCCACAGGGCTGCTCTCAAGGAGATCTTCCCCCAGTTTGTATAAATACCTGGGAATGGCCATAGTCCACATTACAGAGGACTACCCAGGGACAGTTAATTCTCTTGTCCCTTTCTCCCTCTATTTGTGTAAATCCATTTATTGGAACAGTCTGTACGTAGGTGGGAATTCTGTCCATCAGACCCCCAGCTAGCTTAATCCAATCTCCCACGTTCTTACAATTTATTTGGGTATTACTTGAATGAGAGCCCTGGGGAGAGAGCCTGGCCCTTCTTAGTGACGATCAGGAGGGGCAGAAGGTTTATGTTCAATTGGCACTTGTCTGAATGGATGTCAATAAGAGAATCTGCTTCTTCCAGTCACGTGTACTGAGCATACATACCAACTACACATTATTTAAAACTCACAAGAAAATATACAAAGTTCATTTGTTTTACGGCACCAACAATAAGCTCTAAAAAAAAGAAGATCATAGAAAACTTACCAGTTTATGATCAAACTTTACAGTTGATGGTCGATCAACCAAGCTTACAGTGCAAGAAATTAAATGGTGGTGCTACGCAGTTTAGAGGTAACTCCACATCTGATCTAGCAATAGTATCTTAGGCCATATTCAAGTTTTTCTGATCAGCCAGGAGTTTCTCCAACCTCTTTATCACTGGACTAAGATTTTGGTTTAAGTACACTGATGTTGAATCTTTACCTTGTAGCCAGATTCATAGCAGCTGAAAGCAAAACCTATTAAAATGAATAGGCTATACTGAGACTTCTGAATGTTTTTAAAGGAGACCATTCAGGCAGACACAAATGTTACAGAATAAATCACATCCCCCAGGTTGTTTTCTATGATGTTTAGGAGCTATGTAATAATAGTACATCATTTACCTACTTCAAAACGAAGTACATCTTGTATTTCAAATTCTATTAGACTGAAAATTGTAAACAGACTTCTGGTTTTTATTGTTGTAAACACATATGTCCCAGGCAATACAAATATTGGTTGGTTCAGGAGCTGAAACCTAAAAAAACCCCATCCCCAGATGTCAGTTCAATACAAGTCTTAAACATCATTCACTCTTACCCACGCACACTCAAAATACGTCCTTAAAGGCTCACTCGTGATTAAGTACTTTACTAAATTAGGATAGTTCATTAGCCCTTAGACTTGCCTGAAAAGGTTTAGGGTTCCATATTAAACTTCATGAGACACTCTTTGGATGCACTGGATTTATTTCACAGAGTCTTTACCAGTTTTTAGTCCCAGCACCATTATTGCCTCCCCAGATGGCCCTGAGCAAACTCGTCATGATCAGTGCCCCCAGTGACACCTCCCAGTATGGTGTGCTGCTCGTCCAAAGGCACTTCCAGTACAGAATTAAGGCACCCTCCCATATGTTCATAAGTGAAGAAAGTGAACTGTAAATTTGTGTCTTGTCTTGCACTGTGCTGATTTCTTCATGAGAACAAGCCATTAAGTCTTGGGTTCATCATCCTCCAATTTAGATATGTTCCTTCACAGTCCTGTCATTTTAGCCTGAGATTGGAGATGTCTGTCTTTTCATTGACACCTCAAGCCCCAAATGACTAGGCCTGAACTTAACTACCCCACAAAGCACCAGCCATTAGTTGCACCTTGTATCAACAAAATGTGTTCAGCGTGTGAATCTATAGTAGAAATGAGGTTTCTGATAATGTACCTAAAGCATGATGAGATCTCTAACTGAAAAGAATCACCAGTCAGACACAGCCTCATTATTTTAAACACTGTGTGCAAGCAGAGATTAGCAGCAATGCCATGGTATTTTGTATGGATGAGACTATACCAAATGAAAAACAGGGGGGAATCACAATTGCTTAAAGGCCAAAGTTACATAAATTTGAATGGCATACTCTAATTTTCGGAAGAGACAACTGATTTGGGGTACCTTGAGCAGAGATGCTTGTAAAATAAAGCGCTCACACTCTGACAAAGATCAGTTCAAAGGTATGTGAAACAAGGAACTCCAGTGAGAGAAACATAATGTTCTGTTTCAAACAAAATCTATAATGTTAAATTACATCAAAGCCTCTTCCAGAATTACTCTTTGTGAGAAAATCTTCAAAACATGTTTGCATTTGTGATTTGTTTCATTTCAAAACTAGCGAAATCCTAAATGTTTATAGCACACATCAGGATTCCAAAGTGCTTCCTAACCATACCGGTGTGCAATTTATAGGTAGAGATTAGGTTTATAGGTTCAGAAACCACCCTGGCCTCTGAGGCTGATACATATCAGATATTAAAATTTGGGTAGTACACCAAATGTACATGCTTTTACCTTGGCCTACAAGTTCATAAACCATCCTGCTGCAAAAATATCACAGCTTTATGTTATCACTGAAAAACAAAGAAACAAAAAACCCCAAATCTCCAATAGCTTGTATTCCTGAATGGTTGTAATGTCTCTTTTAGAACAGTGCATGGAATTATACCTACTTTTTGTCCCTCTCTTGATTTCATTACTGACTTTCAGAATCATTATTTATTCTTTCTGACAATATGGGAGCATGGACATGACCCAGAAGACTCTCACAGAGTTTGTGTGCGGGATGTGAAATTGAGTTTAGGAAGTCTTTGTATTCAGAACTTTCAGACTGAGGTGTCCTCTTTGTGGTCATCCAGGTTCTCTGTGCTTTGATGGCTCCTTCTGTTAAAAGTAGGACAAATGATATGGCTTGTATTGTTAACTAGACAGGCCACAGCAGTGGTAGAAAGTCTCAAACAATTAATACAACTTAGAACCACCATGAAGATGTGCTTGTTATGGACAGTGACTGTCATGCCTATGCAGAGGGGTGAGTGACATTTTAGGTTGGGGGTGTAAGAAAATATTTTGAAATTGAATCCATCAGTCTTGTAGGATAGACTGCTTTTATGCATGCCCTCAGTATACAAGTCTTTCATTTAACAGAGATGGATGATTTTGAGCTAGCCAAGATTTTCTTTATAGAGGAATAGAGAAGAAAGAAAGGGATGAAGGGTCAGAGACAAGGAAAAAAGGGAAAGAGTGCTCAAAGTTGTCCTTTCTTTTTCTCCCATGGTCTTTTCTGCCTGCTCCCCTAAATGATTTGGATGTTTCTTATACACCATAAACACCAAGAATGCTGTCAATAATCCTATTTTCTTCTATATATAAGAAAATTGCAACTATTCACATTTTCTTCAGCAATTTAAAGTATCTAGAAGAGTCTCCATGAGTGTATTGAAACACTGCAATAACTGTGCTCTGTGTGCCACTCCAAAGAAGTAAAATATAGCAGCTGATATCTATCTGGGAAATGTTCCTCTAAACAGCCAGCACAGTACTACAAAAATAAGGTACTGAAGCATGTAATGGTATCATTCAGTTAATAATTCAACTGATAGAATGTTGTTCTGTTGAGTTCCGAGGAATATAAATGTATACACTGATAGCTAGTAATTTTTCCCCAGTATGACTAAAAGCTGCTGTAATGATGTCACTGCTATTTTTTTGCTGGTTCAAACCTACCTTAACACTTCAAGTGCGAGCTTTGTTTCTTTCCGACTTTCTTCAGTGATTGGGTAGAAGAGAAGTATAAGCAAACCTATGAGGATGAGGACGGCAGGAACTGCTCCAATGAGGATTTTCAGAGTGAGGATCACGTCCTTGGATTGTCTGCATATTCCTGGCTTGTACCCAGTAAACCTAAACCAATGGAAATTACAGGGTGTGCATATGTCCAAAACTTGCAGACACTTGTTCATCTGAAAGTCACCTGCATGGATCACTCCTTTCTCCCAATGCTCTTTAAGACTCTTCTCCTGTTTTTCTTCCTTTTCTTTTTTTTTTTTTTTTTGATACCCCTCTTTTTCCTCTTCTTCCCTACATGTTTTATATCTTGTTTTGCAGATCTCATCTTTCTGCCATTTCATATAGCTGCATTATTTCTGAATTTTCACATTATTATACTGTAACATTTAACTGTTAAGAGGAGGCTGGAATCCCAGACAAGGAAATTGGTCTGATCTGTGACTCCTATTAATATTCAGCAAAGTATTTAGCCTCAGCTTTAAAAAATGCAAATAATCCTACCAATTTCAGCAGCAATTCTTCACCTTAATTTAAACACATACTTAAGCACGCTGTTCAACACAGACAAATTTATTCAAGTGCTGAGAATTAGGTACACATTTACACTGTGTTGATACAGAGCTCTCATGCAGTCCCACAAGAGCTGATATACTGAAGTTCCCATTCCCAATTTGCAGAATGAGTTTGTAATCCTCAGAATATTCACCTATGTTCTCCCACAAACATCTGCCTTGGCAAATTGTTGGGAACTAACTGGAATGGAATAATGAAAGAGCTTATTGGTAAAGAGCTAATTTGCTTGTTTTAAACTCTTCCTAAATAGTCAGTAAAAACTAGCAGATTTGATTTCAGGGTCTTCTTTTATTTTCCTTTTATTCCTTCTAATTTTTTTCCCCTTTTTTTGAGGGGGGAGGGGGTATTGTGGCATCCTTCACAAACTTTGTCAAAGTTTGTTTCAGGAGCAGCCGTGAACAGCTCATGCAGTAAGCCTCACCCAGCCTTCCTTCTGTCATTTTGGCTCTTTGGTTTTCAAATGACAGCAGCAATTGCAGACAGTTTAATCGGGGCTGCGTTCTGGGATCTGATATTCTGCTGCAGATAAACTGATCTCCTTAGCAAAAACAAAGAAATGTAAACATATGGAGTAGGTTGGAGGTGCCTGGTGAAAATTTGTTCTTTTCAAGCAGCTATCCAAAATACCTGCCTAATTGCAGGGGCTTCTTCATCAAATTGCAGAGTGATTTCTAATTTAACACTTTCTTCCACACTTAATAACGTTGATCAAAACTTTTGTCAACATAAGACAAACAACTTTTTACAAATGAGTGTGTTTGTTGTTAGGATCTAAAACTCCTAGGCCAAAAATGTTCAGCAAAGCATTGGCTGTTTCTCAGCAGTTTTTACTGCAGGCCCTGAAGCAAAATAGCCTGGTTACCAGAACCTGTCCCGAAGCCAAAAGCTAAATAACAATTCATACAATTTCACTTCCAAGGCAGGTGCTGGGAGAACAGGAAGCATCTTCTATACCGATATTGATTAGGTTATGAGCAGGGCTATGAGAAAATCTCTGTTCCTGGCTCTGTTCAACATTCAGTTCCCTAAAACCATGCAGGAATCTGGGATCCTTTCATGCAGAACAGGCTGCTATGCTCCCTGAAATCACTGCAATATCACTGCAAAGACTTACAAACTCAATTTTTGTAGACCAACCCAGATACAATAGGGATTGCTCAGAAAAGGCATATCCCTCATGGGAGACCTTCATCTGCTTTCATATTCAGTTCTTTATTCATGTAAGCCACTACAATTTACAAAAATAATTTGAAAAATGTAACATCTAAAGGAAAGTCAGGTTTTTCTGAACTGGAACTTGCTAAGGCAAGTGGCTGAATGCTCCGTGGCCTGGCCTAAATGATAACAATCCTGTCTTTAGTGGTCAGTCAACTAGAGCTGCTGGCACTTTCAGACACAGGGCAAAAGGCAACTAACTCAACAGGGTAAAGGCAGAGCACTACAGAGTAGATCCACTAAATGAAAACACAGTGTTACTTACTCCAGACAAGCTGCAGAAATTCCCAGGCCGATTCCTGCTGACATCTTGGTAAAGAAAACATAAGAAGAATAGAAAATGGTTTCATGTCCTTTCCTGTGAGGATTCTCCAGGCGAAAGTTATCAACAACATCAGGCAGCATCGACCTGGAGGTAAGCAATATAAGTAAATAAGTAAAACTCAAGCTGAACACTCTTCTCAAAGTCCGAACTTAATGAAAGGCACTCGAACCTCCACTTTCTAAGAGCTGATTGATGTAATTAGTTATGTAGATGAGAGAATCCAGTTCAAAATATCTTACTGCTGGACAAGAGGGCAAAAATCCTTATAAGAAATGCATAGTCACATGTTAGCAAGTATAAGAACAATAGAGAAACTATCAGACACTTGTTGGGAGGGGACAGAATTCTTTAGACTGACTAATTCCATCAAAAGTTGTGATATTAAAATAACTCTTGACAAGCTAACAAAAGTTTCTGAAAGCAGAAGGGCTTATTCTCTCTTAAAAGAGAGAATCCTTCAAATAGAAGTATTGAATTTGGTGATTGGAAATAAGAATGAAAGCTGCACAAATGTCAACTGCAAATTGACATTTTTTCCAGTATATTTCATTATTTGCTGTTGGAATAAAAGGCTTATGATCTGTGCAGAAAGGCATTTGTAGTCTGACAGCACATATTGTATTACATTTCCACGATCTCTTGGAGTTTCAGAGTTTCAGGGAATTGTCCAAATGAGAAGTGCAAAACAGCTCTTAACAATGGTCTTGCTTTCTGGTCAACTTGACCTGAACAATAATTTTTCCATGTGGAAATCTCCCATTCTTCCCACATATTTTCAGTCCTAGAACCAACAAATCTCAGTTTCTTTCATCCATATTGTTGTAGTATTTAATCCATAACATAGGATTGCTCAAGAGAGATTCACTACTTGACTTTCTTTGCTACTTAATTGCTCATGCATTAATTTGAGTACAACATCCAACTTCATCATTATTGTAGCACTATTAGAAACCAGACCTAAGCAACTGATTTACTGTTATCACAACTTCAACAGCTATTTAGTCTATTGATTAATGTGGATACTTTTAAGTACAAAGAGCAGCTACAGTTACAATGCAGGCATAATCCATTAACAACAGCATAATTACAGCCTTTATTATAAAAGCAAAAATTACTGGAAGGGACTCTTGCCAAATTATATCCCTTTCAGAGGCAAATTCCATCCAGTACACTTATACAAATAGACATATAACCCTTTTCCACCTCAAATGTAAAATTTTCCTACCATGGCAACAGCAGAGATGCTGCAATGCTCAGACCAGAGACAAAGGCCACGAAGTAAGCCAGGATCGGGTTTGGAATGGTCACCAGCATGGCTGCAAAAGGAATCATCCACTGAGGAAGAAGAAAAACAGCACATATAAATTACAGTATGCACTATTAAGTGTATGTAAATTGTTTCTTTTAAAGTAGAAGATTGTCTTGTGAAATGATACATCATACATAGCAAAGACTTGTGCTTCAGTATTATGGTGAAATGACACAAGTCACTACGGTTACCCTCAAAATTAAACTAATTTGGGCTGCTCAGGATTCGTTTTCTGGCAGTACTTTAAACCACCAGATTTCTTCAACTTCAACTTGAGGCAGTGAGCTTACAGGATTGAAAATCCACTGTTTTAAATGCTGATGGAATGTACGCAGCCCAGCTGTCACATATCCATCACATGCTCCATCTCCCCTGCTTGTGAACCACGGGCACAGCACATGTAGAATCCAGAACCAGGGGCTTATCTACAGGGCTTTTTAATGATAGAGGATTAGTTTAATATAAAGTATTTCAATCTTCTATAGTCGCAGCTAGGGAACTGAGGGTCTGAGAAGAGCTTTCACAGGGAGTGATTCCCTTAAGCACTGCTATTTACAGTTCTATATGATAAGTGATTCTGGGAGTCCTGGAGTCTAATCCATTATGTTTATGTTTTAAATGCATTTCCCATCTAAAGCATTTTCTCCTAACCTAAGGAGGCAGAAAATAACCTTTCCTGACAGCATGTTTCCAGCACAGACAGCCCAGTGTTGTGGCAAAATCATTATTTCACCACAAGAGAGCACTCCAGCAATACAAGATTTTATGTTGCCTATAAGCAACTTTATGACAGGCTTACACTCCACATGGGGCCCCACTCAGAAACCAAAGGACTTAAACAAAATTACGGATCAATAATAATAATCGTAGTAATTGTAATTTTCTATTGGCAGAGAAGAACAATCCATAAGACTGAGGCTGCAACACCCTGGAGTTTCACTCATGCAATGCTAGTGCAATCATGGGGGCACTATTCCTGATGCAATAAGCAGCTAATGTGTCTTCTTCCTTCTTCTTTGTAAAGCATAAAATACTCTGTTATTGGCTCCCTGTTCCCTGGCCACAGCGCTGCTGCACTGAGTCATAAACAATATTCCACACTTAACATGCATCTTCCATCCATTCATTGGCAGCACAATGGCAGGGGACCCCTCTGCAATGTGGAAGGTGATGCTGACCTGTGTGACAGCACATGATGAAGGGCAGAGCAGGAAAAACTGCAGTGAGGCTTCACACAAAAGCGTGCTTCCATACTGAACAGTGCTGATAGATGGCATTCAGACAACGGTGTATGTTTGGTGAAATGAAAGGCCAGAGAAATTTGTGGATTGAATTTATTTATTTTTTTTTTAAGTCCTCCAAAACCCAGAGATACAGGGTACTCAAAAAGTTAGTCAGACATCCCTCTGCTTCGGGAAGATTGCTGCTGGGTTAGAGTTAGTACAGAAAATTCAGTCTAGTATGGCCCCCAGATTATTATCCATTATGTGGTGCTCAGGGACATGATTTAGCTGAGGGTTGCTAGCTAGTGTAGTATGGTTAGGTCATGGTTGGACTCGATGATCTTTAAGGTCTTTTCCAACCTGAGTGATCGTATGATTCTATGATTCTATGATTACTTTTTCATGTAGACAGTGATGAAGTTGCAATGAAGAATCCATCAAAAAAGACTTTAGGGCTTTGAGATCATAGAACCATAGAATTGCTCAGGTTGGAAAAGACCTTAAAGATCATCGAGTCCAACCACAACCCAACCATCCTACCCTAACTCCAACAGCCCTCCGCTAAATCATGTCTCTGAGCACCACATCCAAACAGCTTTTAAACACATCCAGGGATGGTGACTCAACCACCTCCCTGGGCAGCCTATTGCAGTGCTTAACAACCCTTTCTGTCAAGAAGTTTTTTCTGACATCCAACCTAAACTTACACTGGTGCAACTTGAGGCCATTTCCCCTCATCCTGTCATCAGTGAGAAGAGACCAGCCCCGCTCTTGCTATAAGCACCTTTCAGATACTGGAAGAGAGCAATAAGGTCTCCCCTCAGCCTCCTTTTCCCCAGACTGAACAGCCCCAATTCCTTCAGCCTTTCCTTGCAGGGCATATTCTCCAAGCCCTTCACAAGTCTTGTTGCCCTCCTTTGGACCTGCTCCAGCATCTCAATGTCCTTTCTGTACTGAGGTGCCCAATGAGATGATTGGCTAAGGGATCATGTAAGTACAAGCAATATTTCCCTCTACTCTTTCAGGTATCAGGGAATGATACTGGAAGAAAAAGGTGGATCAGCTTATGAAGGCTGGTGTCGCTGGCAAAACATTGGGTTTTTTTGATCATGAGATGGTCTACATGGCATCATAGTGGTTGGCACCTGATGGGCTGCACCTTTCTCAAAGACAGAAAAGGATTTTTGTTCAAGAGTTTGCAGGGATGAATGAAAGAGATTTAAGCTAGATTTGAAGGGGGAAAGGAAAATCATCAGGCTCACTGGTGATCAGCTATGGGACTCCTACCCCATAGCTAACAAGGGGACAGCGTGCTAAAAGTTCCTTCATTTTTTTCATAAGGCACTAGGTGCACAGTAACACATTTGAAATGTTTCTACTCCAATGCATGCAGCATGAAGAATAAACAAAAAGAGCTAAAAGTTTTGGCTTGAATCAGAGCTATGGCAACATTGGTACAGATGAGACTTAGTGGGAAGAGCCCTGTGACTGGTGGCTACGATGGATGGTTATAGGCTCTTCAGAAATGACATGCAAGACACGTGTGGTAGGGGTAGCACTGTAAAGTTGGGCTGTATGGAGCTCATGATGACACGACTGAGGGACTCTATGTAAGGATTAGGGGAATATCAGGTTATGCGTTAGGAAAAGGTTCTTAGCCAGAGGAGCACTGGAACAAGCTTTCCAGGGCAATGGTCATGGCCTCAAGCCAGCTGCAGTGCAAGAAGCATTTTGACAATGTTCTCAGACATTGGGTTTGAATTTTGGGTGGTCCTCTGTTGAGTCAGGAGTTGGACTCGATGAACCCTATGGGTCCCTTCATGGATATTCAGGATATTCTATGATTCTGTGAAAAGCAAATGTTAGCTAAGATGAAAGGCAGATCTGTGAGGTTTATTGTTGAGCAAACTTAGGCCTTAAGAAAGGGAAACACAGATGTGTGCATACATGGTGTCTTCAAGAATCTTCAGTACTCAAATACAAGAGAAAGAGAGGTCTTTTGTTAGATGTCTTACCAAAACCATGATTCAATAATTGCCACATGCAAATTTTTCCATGAATATTCTACCTCCAGCCACAAAGATTTACTGATTGTAAACTGAATGTTTGTCCCTGTTTGTCTAAATTTAACAAAGCATATGGAAGCAGAAGCCAACAAACTGCAGTGCAACATTTCTAGTCTGTGCACCAACCTGGGCATGGGAAGGATTTTGTTTGGTTATGACCCTATACTTTAAGGAGATCTAGTCTTCGAACTTCTAGTCAGTACAGAGATGACTGGTCATGTGGGGAACAACTGAAAAGAGAACAATACCAGGAGTGGGAAGCCAAGATTCCTGTTGTCCATCTAGCTACCCTGCCTTCTATACTCTTTCAGATGTTTCTTCAACACAGAACTGCTTTCACAGAAAAATAACTCCAGAGAAATTCTAATTCTTTTTTTCTGGAAACTTATTTTCAAATTACACCTTCACCCTGAAAGCTGAGTAAGATTTTGGAGAAAAAACTTTTCTCCTCTCTCTTTCCCTTCCAGGAGAACGTTCCTGAGTGACAACAGGAGCTTTGAATGATATGATTTTGTTTTACAGTGAGGGAGAACAGATTAGTTGTACAGATCACACAGGGTGGTAGTATAAGAAGCTCCTGTGATGCACTGCCAGACATAAAATCCATCACTGAGCACACAGAAAGCATTCACAGTCCCTTGAGAAATATCTACAAGGTGAAAGGTTTTTTTCAGTCCAACCCCTGCTTAGATCATAACACAGTAAAGCAATTCAACTGTAAAATTAAGTTAAACCATGTTTGCAGAGGTGCCGACAGGCTTTCCAGTTATGTTTAACTAAATTTATAAAGCCAAGTTGGTTGAAGAAAGCATTTTTCATAGCCAAATATATGGAGGAGTTTTCCTAAGAAGGAAATCTTCATTCCCTGATCCATCCAATGGTCCAATACTGCTTTTGGCAATTATCTTTGCTCAAATGTTAAAAATAAATGAGGATGGGACTTAGATTCCAGATGTCTACTTCAAGAAACATAACTAATTCAGCGTATTTGGAATAGGGGTTTTAAAGTTACTTCTGATTCTTTGAAAGTCATTCTAACACACAGATTGTAATTGTATAAAATGAGAACTATTCAATTATATTCATTATTTGTCACCAGACCTAAACTTTTAAACTTTGTTCAGACTTGACGTAAAACTTCAGGCTGGATTTTCCAAGTCTTCACAATTTTTGTAGTACACGAAAGAGACAATTTCTTTTTTTCCTCTTTCATAAGTAATTGAAGGTAAACAGGAGAAAATGGGGAGTAACAGGCCTATACAATGGTCCACTGAGGATGATGACAGAAAATTGCTACTGTCTTCACTAAGTGAAGAATTTAAAATAATCCATCAGAGATGAGGGCAGGCTCCCTGAGGTGGCTTTGTGGAGTTGTGGCAGAGTAAAACTAGGCTTCTTTTCTCAGGCAGGTCAGGTAATTTCCATTACTTCACTAATAACTGTCCATTCCCAGTCACAGGGATGTGGGCACTTGTTTCTGCTTAGGTTTCTAGAGCAGGATGTGGAATAGACTTCTGTTTCTTCCTTTGTGACTGAATTAAAAATGCAGTCAGCTGAGCATCATAGACAAAAGTAGCCTTATACAACAGATAACTTGAACAGATAGCCTGTCAACTCGAGTCAAAATGGATCTGAATTTACTGAACACCATTTGTACTCACTTCTGGGAGCAGTGAAATGCAGAACTTGTGCAGATTCTTAAAAATAATAATTATAAAAAATGCTAAGACCTCCTTAAGCATCTATTCATTTCTTAAAAAGTTTCTCTTGAAAGCTTGGAATCTGTCTAAAATTTTGTGTAACAATTTTAAAACTTTAAAACTGAGCAGATTTCTTGTACCTTGAGGTCATAAACACGTGAAATAATTCCTGAAATGGCTCCACTTGTCACAGTAAATGAGCACAAGATCTTTTTCTTTTCTCCAAGGATTTGCTTACCGAAATCCCACATGCTGCACACTTCTTGCCAAATCGCTGCAGAAACTTCTGCCAGAAGGGAACGCTCACAACTGCTGATACCTACAATTAACAGATAAAGAAAATCTGTGCTGTGCTTATTGCTACTTCACAGGCTTCATTGTCTTCATTGTCTGCAGAGTTCACCAATATCATTTTGTATAGTCCACGATGGTCTGAAAAGCAGATAAACTTGCAGATTGCTCCCTCTCACTCTCCAAGTGGTTTGTCTGATTCATTCTTATATGTTACAAATGAATATGATGTGAGAGGTTTTAACAAAGATAAATAGCAAAATACAGTAGCAAACTTTTCCTAACTTAAGCCACTGCAGTTAAAGTTACACAATCATTAAAGTCCAAACATACTGCAAATATTTGTGCTTTGTCCTAATGTCTTTTACCTCATGATTTGAACCTGACACATGATCATTTAATTAAGCCTTATCCTGCAGTACAGCAAGAAAGCTGAAGAGCAATATATACTTATCTTAGAGTACATATCCCAGCTCAGTATATACATAAAAGACTTCTTGTCTTTTATATCTTTGTGCTAAAAAACAGTGAGATTGAACTAGCAAATAAAAATATAAAACAAACCACAACTCACCAAGATGGTCACCACCAAATACTGGAAGTGATAGCGAAGATCAGCTGCATGAGTACAGAATAGGACAAAGTTGCTCTGCTCTAGCTGTTGAAGATATTTGGTGACCACCACCAAAAGAAGGAAGAGAAAAAAAAAAAGATAAAAAGACATCAGACTCTGTACTAGCCAAACATACCTGGGGACTGATGTATCAAACATAGGATTTGGGAGTTCTGCAACAACTTAAGCAGTTTCTCTCCTTTTATCACTGGAGTAACACACCGACAATATCAGGGCAAGCAAAGGGAAAGCCATGATTCTAACAGAGTATAAAAATGTCCTAACCAGGAACTGCCCCATGAAAGGATTCTATCTGAAGACTCTGATCCCTATGCTGCAACTTCCTTGAGTCATGGTCACAGTCACAGCTGCAGACCACCACAAAATTGTTCTTCCTTTTCCATAGCCCCTTCATTAACCTTTCACCAGAAGCTCTGATTCCCTAACAAGTTACTCTTCAACTGGAACTGCTCACATGCCAACCTCCTGTAGTAAAGTAGCTGCTGTTTTTGTATGCAACTTTGGCTAAGGAGCATAGCTTTGGGTTAGATGAACGTTCATTGGATGGGAGCTGACTGGATGCTGCATTTGTACTCATACTGACTGAGTGGATGCTGGAAGGACCTAGACCAAAAGGACTTCCATCATTCATCTTCTCCTTGTCTCTGTTGCTTTTGGTGCCTGCAACTCCCAGATGTTAGCAAAAAATGCTTCTATCATTTCTCACACTTGGGCCTCCAAGTAAAGGACAACCTTACTAACTATGCCCAAATTCATGCCAGCAGGAGACTTCAATGCTTCTTTGGCAAGAAGACTTTCCAAGGAACTTAGTAATTCACCATGACTGCTGGTGAACACAGCACTGGTGTCTTACATGCTCAGTTTTTATCCTCCCATATGAACCCACCCACTGTGACGTGTGGCTCATATGATTAAGAGTAAATTGACAAAAACATGGATATTATGCACTTTTAAAAAGAAAGCCACTTCAACTTATAGGCAGTGTCAGGTTCACATTAAAACTACATATTTATTGAATTGAATACAGCTCATGTAACAACCTTTAAAAGATCCCTGAACTTCAGGGAGTAAAAGTTTCTTACTAAGTGGCTTCACATTTTTTCTACAGCTCCTGTCTATGGAAGGACATACTGCACCATTTTGTGAAAGTCACATTCAACTGCAGGTCCTGATTTGAAAATCAGCTCTATCTAGCTCTGAAATAGCTAAGACTACCTGCCTCTGAACATCTTCTAACTCTAACCTAATGCCTTCCATCACAGAATTCTCTACCAGAACCAGTTCAGCCACTGTCTGAGATCAGTCACCTACACAAAGGAAAGGGGGCAATGGCTTAAAGTGGCACAGAAGAACAGACAGAAGAGCAAAAACACTTTCTAAGCAACTGAAACCACAGGAGACTGTAGATGGATAACATATAATGACCCAATCTGGGTCACTAGTTCTTCACCTTTTATGGAAAAAAAAAATAATAAAAACCCATCTTTAAATGGTCGGGACTTTGGTTTTCCTTCTCGTTTGAATGAACCATCTCCAGCAGCATGGAATCCCAGGCACCAAAAAAAGGCTTTGGTTCCCTGTTGATTTCTAGGGGAAGGTACCACCCCCTTGATCATCACCTCCAGACACAAGTCAAAGGTTATTTGCATTTTAGCTGCTTCAGACTCTCTCATGCTGGGACTGGAATGAGGCCAACATACAGCCTTAGAGACTGAAGTTACCTGAACTGCTGTTGAGATGAGAAGAAATGAAGCTGTAAGTTTCACATATGGGCCATGCTTCATGGTGAGTCCAAGCCCCTTGCAAAAAGGAATTGCTCTGTCTGAACTCAAGGCATAAGGATCTAAGAGGAATAGAATACTTAAAATAACAATCTTTTCCAGAGACAACTATGAAATAATTATTAGCAAATCTAGGCATGTTTAAATATATCTTACCATCTTTTTCCTTTACTCCAAGGAAAAGAATGATAATTCCAAGAAGATATATACCTCCTATAACCCCTGCTGCCATCATATAGACTTTTGCCTTTGAAAAGAAAAAAGACGTATTTGAAATGGTGATAGGAGAATGACAAATCATTATGAAAATTCCAGTCTTTTTTTCTGGTGAGTCATCTGCAAGTGAAGAAATGCTCATCTAAATAGTGCCAACTGTCTATCTTTTAATTATGTGAAGAACATTCACTTCTGCAATTCGTTTATAAATGACACTGAAGGATAAATCCAGGAGGGGGAGAAAAAGAAGGTGTGAACAAAGGTCTACTGTGCTGGCAACAAGAATATGAAAAAAAAAAGCTTATGTTGAGACTAGCTATAGATATACACAGTCATCTCTCAAAAGCACACAGCATTCATAGAATGATTCTGGATTATTGTTTTTTATTTTATTTCAAATCTTGTTGACCTTTCTACACAGATCCAAAACTGTATCTTCATTCTGAGAGGGAAAGGCTTCTGAGCTGATGCAAACATTACTACAGTTACTGCATTTATACATAACAATAATAAAATCTTACTTTAGGCTTTAATAAATTTTAGAAACCACATTTTAATGCTGATGTTTTGAGAACACAGTAGCTTGCATGCTTGTTTTCCCAGTTAGGTAGTGAACTGTTTAAGCAAATTCAGAAATCTTTGCTTTCTATTAAGCCAGGTGAAAAAGCCCTCCAAGGATACTTCCCACACAAATCATATTTATTGTTTCTGACTGAGATTATATTGACTCTTGAATAAAGCTTTACAATTTTATTTTGCTTTAGTTTTCTGTAATAATTTAGTTTTTATTATAAAAGATACAATAAGTGCTGGTTTTAGAGCTTTTTGACAAAGATTACTTGATAGGAAAATTGAATTCTGAGTGATCAGTACTATGTTGCAAAAGGCAGGATTATAAATCTAGGAACAAAATAGTAAACAGGCATGCAGTCACAAGAATGTACTTCCAAATATGAAGTCACTCAGTGTAGAGGCAAAGTTAGAGAGATGAACCACTTCAGTGTTTCAATTAGACAATCTTCGAGTGTTTGTTTAGACAACCTTCAAGATGACAACTTTTGTTAAGGTACTTACATTTCAGAAAGGGACATGGTGAAACGAAGAACAGGGCTGTATTTCTTTATTTGGGATAAAGATATTTTGGATATCAAAACTATAACATAGTCACAGACTACATTTATACTTCTGGCTATGGTTTGTACAGACTGCAGACTACAGTAGTGCCAATACTTGAATTTACTTAAACAGGGTAAAAAAAAAAAATAGCCTAGACTGGACAGAAGGGGCTAAAAAGATTAATCACAATGATTTTATATGAATTTTGTATTTCATATCTATTCATTTGTTAATTTGCTTGAAGTAATTGAACTAAATGCTTTCTTTCCCAGGTCTTAGCTATGTGTAACTCAAGCCTTACTCACCCAAACTACTAAGGATTTTCATGGTGGGCCAAATAAGGTTCTCCGACCCTCAGCAAAACTTGTTAGAATCACAGAATCACAGAATCACAGAATCGTAGGGGTTGGAAGGGATCTCCAGAGATCATCGAGTCCAAC